AAAGTTCCTAGGGTGAATATGAGCTCTGCTGGCTTAGTGGTAGGGAATTGTGCTGCTGACCCAAAGGCACAGAGTTCTAGTCCACCAGCGGCTTTGAGGGAGAATGGTGGGTCAATCTCCTATGTGGTTTTACTGCTTCTGAAAACCCGCTGGAGGATCAGCTCCAGGTCTGTTCTGACAGGCAGGTATATAACAACAGTAAAGGTACACAAACTTGGGAGAAAGACAGGCAGTGTCTCCTCCCATGTGACAGCATCCAAAGCCCCCTGGAGAATCAGCTGGCAGTCGCTTCCAACAGCAATGGGTTGAGTTGAGGTGGCACAGTTTATGCTCAGCTTCTAGCCTGAAGGTTGGCTGTTCAAACCCACCCAGTGGTGCTGAGGAAGAAAAGCCTGGCAATTCGCTTGGATGCATCAAGTCGATTCTGACTCTCGGCACCCCTACTGGACAGAATAGACGTGTCCCGCAGGGTTCCGTAGACGAGTCGGTACGGGAGCAGTTCACCAGCTCTCGTGCAGCCTAGAAGATCCTGGGGGGCAACCTGGCTCCCTACCATGCAGCGTGGCCAGCAGCTGGAATTGACTCAACAGCAGTACGTTTGAGCTACAGCATTGATGCCAATTGAACGGCCAAATGACCAAAGACTTCCAGCTAGTCCCTCAGCTCCCTTTAAGAACTGCTTCTAGACGCTGGATGACATCATGATGGGATTCCCTTGGTCCCTAACATTTGCAGAGCCCACGGGAGCCCTTGAATCTGCTTTTAAAATCCCTGTGAAGCTGATAGGCTGCAGAGTTTTGTGTCCATTGTCCAGATGAGGAAACTGGGACCCCTTTTCAGAGACTCTGAGTGTAGCTGCGTGAGATCTCCCTGCTAAGGGTTGAGCTTACAGGGAGCACTGAGCACACAGCTATGAGAGAAGGTGGACAGGACAGAGCATTGTGTCCTCTGGACCCCCACGATTGAAACGGCCTTGGGCCCCAGTGACGTCAGGCTCGTGCTCAGTCAGCAAAACATTATTTTTTCTTTCTTTTTTTATTATTAATATTATTCATTTTAATGAAAATTTAGAGTTTTTTCATTTCCTTTCATTCATTGTTGCATTCTTAGCTGCCTTGCATCATCGAGAATGTAGCCCAACCAGTGGCCAGGGGTGAGGGGAATTGAAGACTAAGGGGACCTAAGGTGTCCCTGGCCCAGCCCCTCTTCAGCAAGTGGGGAAACTGAGGCCCGGCTAAGATTAAGAACGTCCTCCCAGCTCACGAAGCCCCATCCCCAGCACAGGAGCCTCCTTCCATCTGGGGGAGGAGGGACGCTTTGGCACCAAGGGAGCGCAAAGGATGCATAGTACCAGCTGGGAACGCTAAATATTGCGCCCCTAGCATATGCCTCCCTCAGAAAAGGAGCCGGGACAGAGGCAGTGACGACTTGACAGCCAGCAGACTGTCGGGCTTTGGAAGTTCCCAGTCGACATGCAGACCCAGGAATGGCGTGTGGGTGCGTAGGCGCCGTGTATACCGGAGGGCGTCCGCGTGCTCTCTCTGGGCCTGGGCAGCTTCAGTGCACGCGGACAGGTCCCACAGGGGCCCAGTGATCTCCGGACGTGGGGCTCGCTCAGTAGGAAATGACCCCCACCTGGGGCCAGCTGAGCCCCCTAGGTGCACAGGTAGACACACTGTGTGCACGCCTCGAGCCTCCGCTGCTGGTCACGCAGTAACTCATGGGCGTTTATTTTGTGCCTTTGTCTCTGGGTGCTGGACAGAAGCAGTGAGCAGAGAGACTCGGAAAAAACCCCTCAAACTCATTACCGTGGAGCCAGATCTGACTCCTTGCTGATGCCCCGGTGGGGTTTAGAGGCTGCTAATTGCACCAGAGGAGATTGTTCATCTTTCTCCCTCAGAGCCACCAGAGAGGCCTTGTACATGGCCTTTCTATCCCGCCAGCGTCCTACCAGTGTCAGCCCAGTGTCCTACTGGCTGCATTTGATGAGATGAAGATCAACTATAAAATAAGTAATGAAGCCACTTGGGGGATAGAAAGAGACCAAGGGGGATGTTTGGAACATTCAGTAGGGTTGTTGGGGAAGGGGTCAGGGCATAATGACAATGAGATATGAAAAGCATCTGTAGCAGGAGGACGCTTGAGCAGGCCAGGTTGTGCGAGGCGTGCATGGTCCGGCTGTGGCTCCCCACCTGCTCACAGCACAGTCCCCCCTCCCGTCCCCCCACCACGCACAGGTGTGATCAGACCCATGAGAGATTGCTCAGCACAGGTTAGCAAAGAAACACAATTCACCTCGCGTGCCCCTGGCTCGGAGACACCAGTGCAGGCTGTGGTCACTGGTGAACCCACCCTGTGCACAGTCCGGCTGTGGCTCGACCGCCAGAGTCCAGGAGCTTTGGTGGCGAAGTGCTTAACAAGTCAGGCGGTTAACCCAAAAGGTCAACAGTTTGGATCCACCAGCTTTCTTCTTTTTCTTTTCTTCTTTGGAAGAAAAATGGCAGTCTCCTCCCATGAAGATTTAGAGTTCCAGCCGTAGCAGCTGAGGGTCGCGGTCAGTTAGGACTCAGTCTGTGGCCGTGTGTTGGGGTGGGTGTGTGTTTGCCACGTGGATTGGTGAAGAGAAGATTCCAGAAAGAGGTAAAGAATAGCAAAGAAAAGGAGCTCTGGAGGCCTAGTCGCAAGACGCTGTACTGCAATCCCAGAGGTCTACGGTTCAAATCCACCAGATGCTCTGCTGGAGGAGGGGCAATCTCCTCCTGTACCAGTCAGGTCCGATTTGACGGTACACACAAAAAAAATATTAAAATAAAAATTTCTTTTAAAAAAAGAATAGCAAAGAGCCTTGTGTGAGCTCGAGGCAGGGAGAGGAGGGTCAGCAGGGTGAGAGACGGTAGGAGGTGATGGACCAGTCATGTCATGTGGGACTCTCCTGGCTTGGCTTTCATTCTGATTGAAATGCTGGCTGCAGAGGGGCTGGGGCAGAGGGGAGGCGTGGTGTGGCAGGAGGTTTTCATGGAGTCATGCTGGGTGCTGTGCTAAGGATACAAGCCAGGGGGATAGAGGAGTGAGTGACCCAGGTGAGGGACGATGCTGGCTTTGACCCAGGCGGCTGCAGGGGAGCAGTGAGAAGTGGTCACATTGAGGTTAAATGTAGACTTTGCCGCTGCGCTGAACGTGGACCGAGGGCAGGAGAGGTGACCGCTGTGACCTCCATGTCCATGAGCCATCAGCTGATAGAGAAGCTGGTAACAAAT